AAACCAGTACGTATCAAAAACATCACAAATAAACAATCATTTCTTGTTTGCTACAATTTCAGTCTTCATAAAACATGTATTTTTTTTCGACTAACATGTCAATTCCCGAAAGGATTTCGAGTTTGAGCGGTCGGGTATTTGTGTATGTTCTATGCAGCAATACATTGCTCTGAAGAAAGGTTGAGCTGTTCCACTGCCCAATAGAATCTCAGTGAAGTGAACAATCTTACGTGGGTGTTCTTACACAGGAATCTTATGCAGGGGTGTCGTATTCCGTCATCTAACCAATTTCGATTTGTGATTTCATTTTGGTGTGAAGTGTGTAATAGTATACTGGAAGCAGAAAGTGAACAATTGGTGAAGACATGCATGCCGTGAACCAGATCCAAACACCATTAACCATCATTTCCACTCAACGGAGCAAAATTGTTCAGGGTTCGGACAATACTGTGTTTTTTAAACCATCTCACCATTGTTTAGTTCAAATGACAGGTTACAGTTTTCTATACAAGGTTAACAGTCTATTGACATATGGCAACACAGTGACAGACATGGTTTCCAACCGTATTGCCATTTACACTGACATCGCTGTGACCTATTTACATACAAGATGAGTAATAAACCAAACGAGTCCACATCGTGCCGTTCTTCCTGCTTATCTAAATAATATCCTATTATCAATTTCCACATATCCTACAACTGCAAGCACATAAAAAGGATACGATATGACAAGGAATCGCCATCTTTGGCACGCCTGACTCCGGAAGGAGAGGAAAGGATTTTCTCTAAGAGTTACCTCCCCTTGGCTGTATCTTGGCTGGATGCCTCTGGAAGGAGATAATCACCCAACATCCTATCTGCCCAAGACGACAGACCAGGAAAACCTGGGGATAAACAAAACAACGACGGAGCTCTCTGTAGACGAATCCTCAGCAAATATAACGCCATGTTACTCGCGTCTTCAAAGGCGAACAGGAACAATGTCTTGTCTAAAACTCCATATTTGACGCAAGGACAGCATGGGTTCTCGACGAGCTGTATTGCGCAATGTGAAGCCGGTCGAGTTGATACGTCTCTTTATTCATATTCCGTGTTCATGGCTGATGGTGTGTTCCTATAGCCCGTTGTTCTTTTGCCAGGAAATATGCAAGGCGGATTGTGAAAGCTGACACACATCTTTCTTTGGCAAGGAAGGATAATGGTGTTTGTCTTTACCATGGAAACTAGGAAATAAAGAATAAACATGAGAATTAAACTACAGGCTTCCGTTATCTGGAATTGTCCCCGTGTTTCCTGAAGACAGAAACGTTCTTGAATAATTCATTTTTGCCGTTTTGATTTAAACTGTAAAATTCCACAATTACAAACTGATATTATGAATTGGTTGCGTACATGGCTACACTTACATCATTAAAATACATCTTGAAGATGCCGTACCTTATTTGTAACATGCACTTCTCGTGAATGCGTCATAGAATATCTTAAAGAAATATAAACTCTCTCCCGAATGTAGGTTCTATAAGGCCGTATCAGCGATCTCCTTGTACCATACAATATTACTTTCCACCTGTATAGATTCTGAAACCATCATGATTGGCCCTTCAGTTGAAGCTATTTGTTTCCTATATACATGTAGAACACACTCGGCGTCTACCGTACAACTATCCTCACATGATACACACACCATGTTCTTATCTTCGTTTTCAGCATTGCTATATACTCTGTTCCATACAACTACCCTACTGGACACGGGTTTTCATCATATGATAACTCAGTTATCTGGAAAGTCGAAATTCAGTTATGCTGGCAGAGTTATATTCAATCATTTATATCCATGTACGTTCTGCTCGCCTACAAAACAGCAGCCCACGTACATTCAGGCTTGTGCTAAACCATACGGCAGAAATTACACACAAGAGAATATTATGACATCATTTAGGTTGATTTGACGAATAACATAAATCCAAATACATTGTTCAATAACCTAATACATCTACGATAGACTGCTCTTCCGGGCAATTTGTGTGTGTAAAAATCCCTGTTCTATTTCTATCAGAATATTTCGGTATGTCATTTATATCCAAGCAACCCTTTAGCAATTAGACCATACTTACTACTGCCAGTCAACCATTGTAAGTAACTAAGAGCATCGGTTGGAAAAAAGAACAACAAATTTCGTTTCAACTTCCCACAATGTAGTTACATATTAATGTGGTGTTTCAATGCTCCTTACAACCGCTATTAAAAGATTTCACACTATTTTAAAAATATTTATCAAATTAAAAAACAAAACAAAAACAACAAAAATATGAAAGAAAAAAAACCCCAACAAATATAACTCGAGGCTTTGCAATTCGTTTTAAGAGACGTACCAGAGATATACCTATGTACCGCCTTGATATATGCTAGCCTGGATACACGTGTGGGCAGATCAGCCCATCATCTAGGTAGACTTGTATTGGACAGGAGAAATGATGCGTGACAGAGGTTGTTGTATTATTTAGTACAATAGCCAGTACGGGTTACGTGTCATTGGCTACTATAGAAAACAGGTCAACACTGTGTTTGTATTTATCACATTTACATTAAAGATAAATCGGATATATCGCACGTCAGTGCCTATGAGTAAATTGTGACCCCATTTCAAGAAGTGTACCTAGTGAGGAAACTATTCACAGGTTGCTGACGAGAACATCCGTTTTTGTAAATCATGTTAAATAAGAGAGAAGGATTAAATATACATGAAACTAAAGTGATCAGCGATTGTAACGATGTTTTGTCCCTTGATATTTACTTATTCATTGGTGTTTGTTTAAAACAAAACAAAATTAAAGTAAAAAATAAATATTTCTATGCTGAAGTTTTGTTTAGTTAATTAAAATGTTTTCAAGGGAGTGAGAAACTTAATAAATTAACAATTATGATTCATACGTTAAATGACGTATCGGTTTTACGTTTTTTAAATGAAAGTTGAACATGTAAAATTTGTGTGTTGCTATTGTTTTCAACAGGAAACGGGATAACCTCCTCTGTAACCTATGGAGCCTGATCTTGCGGTGACATCTCATATATTATTTGTTAGGGTGTGTATTTTTTGTATAAGAAAATATGAAGTAAATACGATTCCAGGTCTTAGCGATGTATCAATCATTTTTATAATTACACTTTGGAAAGGTGAAAGTTAATATCCAAACACTTCTTTGAAAGAACTTAAGTCGCGTTGACACGTTTTTTCTATCTCCGGGTAATGTTACCTAGATTACAATCATTAAAAGCTCGTTACCACGATATTATATTCTTACAACCCTAACGAACAAGACGACGTCTCCTTGCTGAAATGAATTACATATTTCTGATATATCGAAAAGTGTCTGATTCTAACAATTTATCGTAATTATATCAGAAATATGAAATGGTGAAAATATTAGTCACATTTCCCATTCGTTCTGACCAAATGAAATGAAATGACTTTACTTAACACGGACAAGGACAGAAGACAATTACTTCATATCGGCGAATACAAATGCTAAAATAAGAATTAAGTTCAGATAAAAGGCAGTAAGTTTCATGGAAAAAAATTATATTTAAGAAACTGATTATATTTCTTGCAAATGACAGCTACTGTCTAGTCAGATTAGATTTCCTCTGAGAAAATCGGAGCTTTTTGCCAAATTAAATTGTCGATTTTAGTCTTAGGACTGACGATCCCCAATCTCACAGTGTGTCTAAACAGTACGTCCCCAATGGCAAAATGGGGAAAATTTGAAGGGACACTATCGCCAGCGAAACAAGATTAAAACTACATTACTCCGTCTTATTAATCATTTTCTTGGGATCCGTTTCACGTCTAAATTAATATTTCACCACGACGTAATGTTGGGTTTTATACGGGAAGTAATCCCACAGGTGTTTTCACAAGTTTAGTAAAGGCATGGTTAACTTAGGTTAACGAAGGCTTATACTAGTAAAAGAATGTAGTTACGCCAAGCAATGACCCCGGGAAAAGGCGGATAAAAGAAGCATCTGTTTTCGATAGGAGGTATTACCGGAAAATGGGTGACTTTTACAAAGAAACGAAATGAACAGTGCCTTGAAAAAAACGAGAGTAATCTATTTCGTGTAAGATTGGTAATGGAGTGATCCGTTAAAAGACCGCAAGACGAGTAAAATGGAGCGGATTTGTCCCGAAATGAAAATACACTGTCTGCTAATCTTTTCACAGGTTTTTCTAAAAGCGGTTTAACAGGGTCATTTTAAACGGATATTTTAAGTGGTGTCCACGGACATGTAGGATTGACAGAAACTGACACATGTATGTTGCTGTCAATATACCCACGTGGGGATTTGCCAGCGGGAGTAGCTCAAGGTGTGACGACAGCGTGTATATTTGTTTTGCCTTGTATATTGCAGACTGGGAATTGTCACTTACAGCATTACTTTAAAAATCATGTTTGTGATAGCGAGAAGATGTGTCTTCCTGAGTTATATGATCAAGATTTTGGAATGCTCAAAACTATGAAGCACACTTGTATATCAGATGAAATGTACATAACCTGCCTTGTTTCACGCTGGTGGAAGATAATTCTCCCGAAATCGAATATTGGTAATCTAAATAATATCTGATCAATTTCCGGGAATATTTTCACCTTTCACCGAGAAGGTATTTGAACAGAATTATATAAATAAAATACAATAAAACGAATATATTTAAATCTTTTTCAACTTTCAACACCCTTCTAATTGTGTATGTTTCGCGAATGATCAGTAAAATCAGTACATTGCTGACCAGGAATAGATCGATCAGATCGATCAGATATTGACCACTTGACCGGACCATTTTCACAATAAATGTAACCCGATGTGCTTGCATGTCCTAATGATAATCTTCATTAGACATGCATTTAACTGTAGCTCGACAATGTTCAATTTGTGTGCATGTCATGCTAGGTAACGAACTATTACCTTTGACAGCTAACTTAAAGACAACATAGAGAAAAAAGTAGGTTATAATCATAATTTATTCAACATTTCTTTCTAAGAAACAGTCATCTACTTTATTCATACTGATATTTTTGTATTTCGGACTTCGTACTGTACACATAAAAACATCATTGTTGTAATTATTCATGATAAAAATGGACAATGACCTTCACATAGCACTCTTACTGACCACCGCGGACTCTGGGTCCGCTTTACTTTACTCCTCTATATAATGGTCAAATCAATATATTGAATGGCTAATTCGTTAATCGATTATCCCCATGAACGCTTGCAGAAGGCCTTGATTTGCCTGCCACGTGACCTAAGGGCTAGTGATTAGCTGGAGGTAATGTTGACCCTGTCTGATTTCATTGCGCATAACTGAAAATTACAAGGACATCTACGGACGTAGTTGTACATTTCATGAGATTCGTGTTACTGTTACCCTTGAAACAATGAAACAATATGACTGATATGTGCAACGATATGTCATCGATAACAGAAATGGCGATTTCAATCATGTTTGATTCGTGCTTTAATCTCGACTTCGATACTTAGGGAGCTGTGTCTGAGTAGACATGTGTCAGAGACTAAAGAAACCTAAGAGGAGTTGTACTACAGATTTGGCACGCCGTGGCTCTACAGAAAATACAATATATGTCCAAACTATTACGGGAGCTACTGAAACCAGGTATATATAGAAGGTCGTTTAGAAGTTGCTGCTATTCACGGAAGGACGTCATGATTCAGTGAGAGGCTACCATAGGCTTGTCCGACATGGCGACACGGCCCGTATGCCCCCATACGTTCCCACGCTCTGCTAGGCAGGAGTAGCACATCAAAGTCAACGTTTACAAGGAAAGTAAATGTCATTTTCCTTCTTATGCATAGTGCAGCGTTGCACTGGCAATATATTCTGGCCCTGCCACTGGCCTGACACTGTTCAGTGGTCAGATGTCCGGTTCTGAGCCTTCTAGCACTGCATACAATACGTTGGCCGTCATTGCCGTCATTTGTCCGTTTTCCGTCGGTTGACGTGGGTCCAGACAGCGTTGGCTGTCGGTACCAACCCCCGACTCAGGCGGGATCGGTTTTTGGACGTCGTGGAGAAGAACATGACGGATGAACTCACGATATATCAAATTACAGAAACACTCACACAAACACATATACATACAAGTCTTGCCACGAGGTCCACGCCTCACCACATAATCCCTGATTTGTGAATTTCACCTCGCCCTGGCACGTATTTCAAATACTTGTGCCACGGGATCCGCTGCTGCCCTCAGCTTTCAAACGATTCGTCGCTTTTGGCAGTAAGGTCCATGAGAACACAGACTCTCAGTTCTCATCAAATGTAACCCAGCTAGTCTAGGGCCCATCTTCAGACGCTACCCCCATTGCCCACCGTGGCGTACTGGCATGCGGACAACGTTGGTTGTCGGGTGGCCATGGGACCGTAAGGAAACGTCGCATGTTGCTTGGCCTTGAGTCGCAGAGCGGCAATACTATTCGAGCACTGGTCCCTGTTGATATAGTAGGGTGGGGCTGGCGGTGCGTAGGGGCAGGGTGTTGAGGGTGAGTTCATGTTTCCAGGAACGCTCGACACACCGGCCACCATTGATGAGTTTATACTGTTGATGTTGTTTGGCGACGACGTGAAGCCCAACGGTTGAGTAGAAACGACGGAAGACAAGTGTGGGTTCACGGGACTGTTCATGTTCATGTTCAACCCCCAGGGAAACGTCTTTGACCCCAGGGGCGAGGGGACCTTCGTGGCCCAGTTGTTATATGAATACCCAGTATACAACCCATCATCAAACGGCGGCTGCATCAGTCCTGTGAACTGTGTTCCGAACCCGTTCTTGAAAGTGTCCATATTGCGTTCACGCTTCCTCCATTTGGCTCTTCGGTTCTTAAACCAAACCTGCAATCAACGAATAAATATATAACATCACATTAAAATAAACAAATTCTACAAAGACATATATTTCACAACCTACATCTGATTAAACATCCCCTTCAAGAACAACAATAACATCCCCTGTTAAAATCCAATTGTCTTATTCTCAGATATACGAAACAATCCTTATCCGACGGAAAATGTAAGGAAATAAATGAATTATATATCTAACATGATCAGCTTCTCAAGACTCTGTTAATTAAACATCTAAAACATAAGTTCTTATGTACATATTTACACTGGTTAAGTTAAAAATGGATCAAAAGTTTCTAAAATTAAATCTCTTTGCGCAGAATAAAGGTATTTTTTACGGATACATTACATCGACGGGTGTCAAATTTCCACCAAGTGGTACTCGCATATATAAATCATGATGATGCATGTCCTAATTAAACAGATTGAGTTTCGTGAGGTGAAATAGTTTCCTTTTTCGTGGCAGCATAAAATGAACTTCTTTGTACAGTGGTATCTCTAGTCTTAACATTGGTGAATTCAACTTAAAACGTTGAAATAGTTCCCTGCAGCCCACATAAGCTTCTAAATCGTGTGAAATATTTAAAGTACTAGGAGCCCTAGTTATGCAAATAGCAGAGAAATAAGAAAGGGGGCATGTGGAAACTTAACCTAACTTAACTTAGCATTGCTTGGAGGATGAATTCGCGTACAACTGGGAATAAAGAAATAGGTAACTATTGTTGGACAACTCAAGCTAAATTCCTAATTCCATACAACGAGTCAAGGGGGATAAAACTCGCCCATATGGAAATACAGATTGATTTGGTTTTATCGATTGTATAATATTTCATGTTTGGATTCACTACGTCAGATCTTGAAGCTATTATAGACACATGTGATTTATTTATAAATGATATTAGTGACAGTAATTTTTAAGTTTTGCAGTGATTTCCGATACGTATCGATGCATATCCACACAGAAGGTTTTGATGGGGGAGGTCGGTGTTGAAATCCGCCATAAATAATATACAATTGCGCCTAAAACGATTAACAATTATAAACAGCTGTGTTTATTCGTTTCAGTATCGATCTTGTCTTTATATAGTGGGCACAGGTGAAAGAGATTAAAATATTGAAAATATTCTCCAGACAGCGTGATATTACAGGCCTTGACTATATTATCGTGAAAGTACCTGCGTTGATCAAACGTTTCTGTTGATTTTATGCTTTCGATATCCAAATTCAATTTTACGAAATATTTCGAAGCTTTGTTTCTCCGTGCTTAAACATGGAGCGATAGTTTATCGTTATTTAAGAACGACGTACCAGAAACGAGGACAGTATAAGCGAGTTTAAAACTTGTAATTGGCTACTTTCATTTTAATTTCATAACCGAGAAGGCCCATATGTTGCGGGGCCATGGTCAGATTTCAAAACAATAACTAAATGACCACATCTTTGTAATCGAAGGCGGCATTTTAAGAGTAAAAGCAATAAACAGACACGCTTTCGAAGCGTTACCGATAAGCCTTATCTCCGCCATCTTGGCGCCACAAAACCAATTAATTTTCTTCGATTTTCCTCTCGAAACTTCAAAGATTCGAGGATGTGGAGGAAATGGATAGATAAATATTTCATCATAGTTATTCAGGTGACAACACTTCCCAAAATGAATAGTACTTAACGCCTTGGGTTGTTGTTTGTGACCAATCTGACTCGGGGAAATATCTTATGCAGCATTAACGCAAATTAAGTTGTTGGTTAATAGTTTTGATAATATTTGTCTTTGCCAACACTGACACGACAGGAATTAAATTCTGATTGCAATGTGTGGCTTGAGAAACAATTACATTAGCGAAGTAAATGAAGATGGGATTTCAAAGTTCGCATTGTACTGAACAAGTCACTTGCAATTTCCAACACTGTCTAATTTACAATGTGGAATTATTTCATACAGCCTTTTGACAGTGTAAAGTTTACATTCTGTTATGAAAAGGCGCTGTAAAAAGTTTGAAATGAAACTTGACATTAGATAATATCAGTGCTGTTCCTTCTGGAATCAACACACGTATAGAAATTGAATACAATACCTGCATACAGACTGCATGTCCCAGTTTTACATAGAACAATTGCTAGAATTAAAAATAATTGCAAAATCGTATGTAAGTGCTAATTAAATACAGTGGTCGTTAATGACAGACGTTTTTAAATTATTAAAGCGACTGATCGCTTAACTTATAATCGTTTTTAAAGTTTAAAAGTTCCGAGGTTGAAAACAGACTGGTGGTTGACCATACTAAGCACATTCGTCAGGCTTGCTTGGTTTAAATCACTTGGGACACCCATCAACGCGTAATGTTCTCTCATGAGGAAAATAATGACACGACAAATTTACAGAAAATATCTACCCGTTATCGGTTCACTTTCCCATTTTGAAAACAACCCATTCTTATTTACAAAATGCAAACACTGTCATACAAAGCATTTTAAAAAAATAAACTTATTAAATGCATGTCCTTCGAAATCGCATCCCCTTCTTCCATAATCACACACCTGCTTAAAACGTTGTAACCTATACCGCGTAATTGATTGTTAAAGGCGCTTTCGGGTATGTTAAGTTTCTTTCAGATGAAAACAATATCATGAAAAAAACTAAATGACTTGATGAACTCGAAATGAATACGTGTTGTTATATGACACCCCTAATTCCTCCATTATGGGAGGCAACTGGATCGAAACGGGATGCAGTGACTACTTCTGTACACAGTAGTTTTCGCAGTCGCAGTAAATCATAAATTGTAAAACACCCCTTAATAAAATCAGAGCTTTTGTGGCGTAGAGCTACCATGCAGAGCGATCGTTGTAATGCTTAATGTTTCTCTAGTAAACATCTCAATCGAAAATGATACTATTTCCCGAACACCCGCTGATGCAGCTGAACAGACTATATGTGCAATTATATAATCCTTGGTGATATAAAGCCCTGTAATTGACTGAAGGTTAAATGTGTGGTCTATTTTCAATTTGTTTAATTGGTACGGATTTGACTCTTATATTCATTTGACATAGATATGTTGTCTGTAAGAATTGTTTGCAAGTGTGAAAACGGTAAAATCTTAAAGGGGCAAACTTCAACAACGTAATACCTAATAGATTGATTAAGGGTATGGCATCTCAAACGGCATATATATTTAGGTTAAAGTGTGACGTACATATGCTGCATTTCATATTGCACAATCCACATTCCCTTTCCCTGTCTGTGCCAAAAGTCTATGAAAAACTGCGCCGTTCCCGTCTACTGTGAGATTCCGATCAGGGCTATTGGCAAGTACAGAACTATTCCTAACTAATTCACATCATTAGAGAGAGGGGAGCGTACCAAACTTCTTCACAACGTGTTTGACACATGGAGTCAATCATTGAGATGTATGTAGTTATATATATCCCGTCTGTGCTAGCATTCATCACAGGACATAACAAAGCTAGTTCACCCTATTTTGTGTTAATAGGACATTAATGCTATTTATTAAGTATTCGGAGAAATAGCTCTTAACAAAAATCTGAAAGTATTTCGTTCAAGTTCGTCATATCTCGGGAAAAATCGGCAAATCTGACGAAGCGAGTGGAACAAGATTTTCGCTTGATTTAATCTGCATCTAAAAGCGGGATTTCACCAAATTAATATGTTTACACTAGAAGGTGAAAACGGGACAGGGTTTCCACCAATTTCGGGGCAATTTGAGCCTTGCAATCGCCTTCCTGCGGTTCTTGGAGATATAGGTTTTGTTTCCTATTCAGGATTTGGTGTTAAAGGGGAAGAACACAACACTGAACCTGTGGATACGCCATATATAATGGCGTTAAAACTTGATACAGTGTAACGTTATATGAAAAGGGTTTTAAATTCTACCAAGGAAATTAAAGAATGGGACACGAGGGACAGGCAAGTGAATGTTTTTATCTACGTGCTACAAGCCATGACTACACGTTAACCCGGTGTTTATGGGGCAGTACATTAAAATTCTGGGGATGAGACTCGGGGATAGACTATAGGTAGATTAATGAAATTGGCATCCACGATCGCGGGTACGATGAACACTGGACGAAGGGAGCGGTAGATTTAATTAGATACATCGCTTTGCTCGTCACACAGCGAACAAACCGCCATCGCTCTTGTAATTTTCGGTGTAAACAAAAACGAAATGCGCCACCCCTTATGTTCACGAGAAGTGGTGGACGGTGATGGCGAGACTTCAGCGTTAGGTCCACACATTGCACGAGACTGCACATTTCACCAAAGCGCGTGTGGGAAATAGACACGTTTTAGCCGCTTCTCTTAACACAGCTGATCGCCATTCCGCTAGCCTTATTTGCCTGAGTAAAGTAACGTATTTCAGACAACCCGAAGTACGACGGGGCACCCGACAGCGTCAACTGGGGACCAAACTGTCGATAGGAATGTGAGAGTACTCGCCAGGAATCAGCAAACTTTTAGTCTATGTCCCATGCAATCTCGCTCATCCCCTTAATGCTTCATTCGAGGGGCAGGCAATGCCATTGCTCGCTTGTGGATCGGCTTACAAAACCAATAAATTTAGGTAAATGAGTTTCTCGTAAATCAACATCATAACCAGATAGCTCTCATACATGACTCGACTTTTTTTTCAGACATACTTAATATCCATGCATAGATTACGACGGGCTCAAATAACATGACGCTCGGTTTAATATTTTGCACCAAAGCCAATTAATTTTTGTTAATATCCAAATTGAAATTCTGTTTTAATATTCAAAAGCGGTGTTACTTACAAATGGACTCGATATATTAGCGAGCCCGTTCGGAATTCCACGTTCGGGGGGATTTCAACAAACCGCGACGGCTGTATCTGATTACTGAATAATATTTGCTTTTCTCGTTTTTCTCAGAGTCCTTTTACGAAACATTAACAGCTAGTTTGCAAACATTGTAAATAAACTTTGAAACGCTAACTTCCACTAACCACCTATGCCTCCGCCATTCCGGTACGATGATCATTCCCGGATATTATTTATTTTTCTGGCCTTAAACAGTTTATTTCTCTGTTAGACCAACACGCGTCGGATTGTAAAGAAAACAAGTCCATTACAAGAGCAAAGAGCAATTGATTTTGCTTGCTAACTTGGGCCTATGCGCCGAAACACATGTCTCTGATTGTAAAAATATCAATACACTCACTATCATAGATCGCGGTGTTTTCCTCCCAACAACACTGACAGTAGTAAGCTGTTAGAGATTGTACGAAAAATCGTTGTTTAGTCAGTGTCCGTGAAAGGCGAAATGGCCGTTGTTGGTTTTGTAAACTAAAGATATGAGTAAGGAAAACCTAGTTAGATTTATTATTTGGGTTTCAAAATGTGCAAATACATGTATTTCCTGTTATCGAGTTTTCAGTTAAATACTTCAGTTAAATGTCTATACTAACGAATTTGTGGTATCGTCCCATGCCAATCATTCACTCACACATGTCACCATCCCCTTCCCTGCCCTTGGCTATCCCGACCCCTCGAGATCCACCCTCACAATTCTCATTATGTGTTCGTATTGGAACAAAACATAATATGTATCTGCTATAACAATACACATTGGGTGTATGTAATATAACAATACTATACATCTGCATTATAACGACAATCATTACATTACGTGTTTGTATTATAACAATATATACTTGTTATAACGATGCTCATTATATATCCATATTATCACGCGCCTTCAAATATGACAAGCTATCTGTATAAAATTATTAAATCTGTACACTTGTTACATTTATTGTGATATTTACCAACAATTATTACGGAATAAGCAGTTTTTCGGTATCTTTATTGACCTTGCATTAGTAAATTTGAATAGTATTGGATGTCATGCATTATTCGGTCTATTTTTATTCATTAAAATCAGTAATGGGAGTGTTAAAAAATTAACGGGGTGAATATACCAGATTACATTATAATGGCACAGCCCCTGGCTACCGGTTAAAGTTAAATTTATTTATCAAATTAACAACAGTTACTCATATTTCAGGATGTTAGAATACCTCTGTACATATTAACATACTGCTAATATTTGTATATTCATCTAAATCCCACTGTTGAAAGTTTACTTTTCAATGCATGACTAAATGTTTGCCGTGTCAATCATATTTCCTTTTGACAAAGGGTGAAATTGATAGCTATCTGCAGCATATTCTGATTTTAATTATTTCGGTATCAAATTTTGATGGGGTCATATTTCATAGCCTCCACAGTTTCAAACGTGTTGCGAGTTACAAAACAACATGTGGTGAAATGAATAACAAAAGTTGATTTTAGAACCCAAAATGAAAAAATCTCATTGCGTAAATATTTGAAAAAGTACTTCATTTTCCTCATATATATATGAGATACACGAAAATAAATTGTTTATCATAAATATACTTGTAATCGTATCATTCTGTCCCGTGTCTGTGATAGATTAAACAATAATATATCGATATAATAGGACATACAGATGTATCTTGTCGTGAAGATATTAATATGAAATATAAGCCGATTAACAATTCTCCCATAAAACCTTTTCACAAGGACCAAATAAACAGTATTAATGTGTTTACTATGATAGATCAAGTGTAAACAAATATAAGTATACCACAGACAAATCTAATGTAAGTTATATCGACAAATTTGAAGCCACGAGCATATGGTGATTCGTTTTGGATGGAGGTACCTATAGGAACTATTGTTTATGTTTTAGGAAACAAATGTGTATGGGTTTTGGTTCTGATAATCAAGTCCCATCGATATCACTACTTACCTCGAATTCAAATTTTTGTTATGGTAAAAACTCCACAAAAACCTAAGTCACATTGTCGCACTTGGTAAATGTATTTTCAAACTGATATTAACAATATTTGATTTTAACCAAAACGTTTAAATAGAGAATGAATACTTTAACAATGTAACTTTGAACAACGTAACTTGTCAATATCATTAGTGGCGCCATATCATGTCTATTATCATAAATCATTTGTTCTAAGCATCCGTCAAAGAAGCAAATAGCACTTATGTATAACTTACCCTAACTCGGGCTTCAGTTAGATTTGTCCATGCTGCGATTTCCTCCCTCGTCGCCATGTCTGGGTATCTGTTTCGGGCAAACGTTGCCTCGAGTTCCTGCAGTTGCTGACTAGTGAAATGGGTCCGTTGCCGACGTTGTCGTTTTTTCTTTGCGCTCTCCTCCGAACTGTCCTCGACTTTGGGCTTACTTGCATCGTTGGAATCTGATAAATAAATGTATATTATAGCTAATATCATTCCGTCCATAAAAATGTGATATACCACATTTGTCCATATAATTTATGGTACACTGGATCTTTCATATGATCTGTCCTGAATTGATACAGGTCGTATTGTTTATTATCCATTCTGAGAACTCCAATGGGGAACCTGCTGTTAATTGACAGAGGGCTATGTTTTCGAAATCAGTAATATTTATTCGTGTAATTAATAGTTTGCGAACAAATACAAAGATGCTTTCGGTATTGAGTTCAGGTGGGTGAAGGCATTATGTCAATAATACTGTTGAGTATTCTCATGACAATTTCAGACAAAACGTTTGTGGTTGTCTTTAATGTAATTGTATCCATCTGTATAAGTATACACTTCGTCGGGAAAAGGTATACATATACTTGTAGGTAATACATATTCTTTAATTAATTCCACTCTGGTCAATTTTTATTTCAGTATAATGTGCTGGTGTGGGTTAAAGCGTCTATATATACTTACAATGAAACTTTATAAAGTTTTATTCAGCGCTGTCGCCTCTTAAGAGACTGCATTTTTGTAATATAGATGATGACTAAATTTGTTCGCACGTAAGGGTCTGATAGTGTGACTAAGAGCGCTTCGTGGACAGTTAGCATTCCCTATATGACAAACACATTGACTCGTTGTTATGGTGTATGTATATGCTCGAGGCAACATTCCCAAAGAAAATATTTATTTTATACAACTAAATTAGGTTAAAAAAAGACATTAACAAGAAAATCGATGACTTAACAATGTAATTTTTATATATAATATCTTGATAGTATTAGCAGCAGTTGAATTTTAGTCCGAGATCGATAAGTTATTATTTACTGATATCAATATAGTTCAAAACAGATGTTAGTAATATTTTACTTATCGACCAAAGAATTGATCCTTTGGAAACAAAAAACTTACATTTGATATATTTCAAAGAGACATATTGTTGTAATGCCCATTTTGTACAAGACATTAACTGAAATATATTAATATTCAATATATTAATTGCAATATATACCACAGCGGCGGCGATCAACTATGTGAACAGATTTACGTTGTAGTCACTATCCCATTATCTTTCTACATACACTAAAACAGAACCATGTTAACATATTGGTCGTAGAGATTAAATTTTCAATGTGCAATAATTCATTCAACCGGAGTTTATTATACGGCTTCAATAAGATATCGTTCTTTGAGATTTGAAATTGACACGATAAATAAAAGATGAAACGATCAGGCCTGCCAAACTTTCAAAGTGAGTTTATGAATGATTTTCACGAAGGTCAGCAAAGTCACACAAGAAACATTGAGATTGTTTATTCTGTAGTTGATATATCAAGACAGCGGTTGCGGAGAGCGCATGTGTTTACAAGGAACGCTAACCAGGTCTACAGGACGTCCCAGATCCGTATTGTCTCAAAAGTTGCTACTGTGCCTAGATGTCTAAGATGAGACAGAGCTGACTATCCTTCTGCAGCCTAGCCTTCGCGTAATAACGACAGAAAGGAACCCGAGAGATCTCAACGCTACTCTATCCTCCCTATTCCCCATCGGGCCAAACAAGCTGCCATAACAAGGTCGAAGGGGGGCTCTCCGCAGTGAAAAAAAATATCTGAAGCCAATTTTCATGCTGCAATTGAAGCTAATTAGAGCTTGAACAAGTTTCCCTAGACTTAGTGACTGAGATAATATACCCGTGGCCTTAACATCGGACTCAATTGTGCGCAAGGTGGTGAATATTTGTTTTTCACTCCAGGCCTGTTAGGAGAAGGTAAAATATGAATATTTATGTATTGTTGAAGGGAACAATGATATTATAATACCCAAACCGTTAACACTATTTCGCGTCACGACTGGAAGGTATATCTTAAATAATAAAATATTTCACTTGACGGAATATTTTTTTCGATTCCAATTCATAAATTTCGAAACTTGGAAGCTGAAAACGTTTGAAAAGAATACCTGCACACCTGGTATGGGGACGTGAGTACAGAATGTCTTCACCAAATAATAAATTTTCAATTTTGGTTTAGTTAAGCTCAACAAACAATAGCTTGATATTTTATCTTTTACACTATGTCAACATTTAATTGTTATCTTTTGTAGGATAACTATACAAATGACAACAGTTGTCGACTCCGATTGTTGGAGGATTTCTCATGTTATGATTTTATAGTTGTAGTATAGTCTTGTTTAGTTCATGAGGATATATTATGGGGATATGTTGCAAATCGTGACTGCGGTTTACTAATCATATCAGTGTATAAACATATAAGCAGGGCTTTTGTGAAGCATGAAAATCACTTCACATTCGCCTGCACTATTCCTAATCATCATAAACACCACGTGGCACCACTTATGTTGGGAGTACTCTATATACGCTAATTAATATTAGGTACTTACAGCATCGCATTATAAATGTTATATTAAGTTACACATTGCTGCAGATGCTGAGGTCTATCTTGGGCGAAACAACAAGAATTTGAGGCAAGTATGTTCCACTAATCATCCTGCCACAAGAATATCAATGTTTTTCGTATATACTTTACCATTATTAGAATAATAATTTTCATCACCTATAAGCACGAGCCAGTGCAGATATCATGCCTGACGATATGGGTATTAAAAGAGAAAGTTTAAATTACAAACAAGAGTTATTACACGGAGTTTATAAAACATTCTAATTTAATTATAAGTCAATTTTCATGCATATGTTAAGTAGCGTCTGTAATGGTTTTCTTAGCGCGTTTAATATGAAGCTAATAGAGGATACAAGTTCAATTAGCCTGGCGTATCATTCAGTCAGAATGGAATAAAGCATGTTTGGAATGTTTATTGCGGGGAAAACATTGCTCGACGCAATTCATCGTTGATTATAAGCAATATTCAACAGACATTTGTCCTACGTACTAACATTTAATTAGTTTCCTTGGCGTCAAAATATAGAAATAGAGTGTTTGAGACAGTTCCGAAAGGAAATACTCCAGACTTTTAGTGCACGCCGTACCCATCCGACCTTTCAGTTTTATAATGTGTTATTTTCCCCCTGAGATGGGTTTACATATACAGAAATTAATTCCACGTTGCCAATAATATCTTGTTCTGGGGGCGCTTGAATAAAGGAGAACTACCCATGAGCAATTTCATTTGAATTAATCTAGCGAAGTGATAGCTTCTATCTGTTTGAAAGAAATCAAGGTAAATTGTTACACCTGTCCGTCTTGTATATTGTGATTGCAACTGACATGACATTGACACGAAAACGACGAAGATGCTTCAAGACGGTCTAATAGGTTAACATTGAACGCAAACGTGCTGAGGGGAAATTGACATGAATTGACCTGTGCCGAATTGACGAGTGAATTGACAAGGGGAAATCGATAGAAGTAACGTCAGCGTTGAGGAGCATCGCTGCTAAGTGCATCGTCGATGTGATACGAGCAACGGTTGTTTATATCGCGAAGTTGCTGAAATGCACACCGGCTCCCTCGTGCCGGGAGATGGTGTTACTTGTTTCGTATGATATAACACGCCCGTGTTATGAACATCAAACGCAGCGAAATAAACATTTCTGTAAAAATCTATAGCGGTCGATGTTCGACGCTACACGTCTCCTTGCCTTACCCCTCTCAGTAAATATCATGACAACATTTCCTACGGATAGTTTGCACGTTGTCACTTGTATATGGCACTAGATTAGATAGCAGTGAGGCATATGATTGCAATATACACATGTAAATGTAACGGGCGGTATTCCCATGCCGTTCACCCTACCTGATTTCTCAGAAGAAGCGTCAGTCGAAGTGACAGTACTGATTGAAGCATGACTTGAACATTGTCCAGAACCGGACAGTGGTAACTCACTGGTCACTCCACTGCCAGTACCTCCGGAACTTTCCGTTAAATGATGCATGGTCATTCCACTATTCTGTCCTGTTGGTTCGCAGCCGGCAACTAGTTCGTCCAAACAGAGGGAATCATTTAGTGAGTCCATCTATCCTGCGAAAGTCTGTCCACGACCGCTGATTTAGGCGGTCAGGGTTGAGAGTGTCCGAGGCGCTGTGTATCCACTGGGCTTGTTCACTGTGAATGAGAGAGGGTGGGTCCACCGCTGATAGACTTCAGTACACCTCGGCTAGTCTCTACACAAACTATCACTAGAATACTCCCAAGGGTCTCCACAACCAACTACCGTTAACTTATAGACGGTCCTTCCGAAGTGACATTCACCGTCGCTGTGGCCATTGACAAAATGCAACACAGGCCCGTGTCTCCGTCAGATACATGTAAATACTCATATGCATAAGACCAAGGCGGTTTTACTGGGCCGTGTGTTTGTTAGAGGCTTAAAAAGCTGTAGGGGCGCATCAATCACAAGAGTACAGGACGAAAAGCGAGCATGGCTATTTGAGCATGCCTGGCGCGTGACGTCACGGCAAACACCGGGTTCTCTCGAGGCGGCCTGCGCTACGATAGGTCGAACGCAGTCAGAGGCGCTACAGCTCAACTTCTACCTGTCATTGTAGTTGTGAGATTTGCATGCTCTAGCTCGTGGTCCAACGATAATTAGATCACGAATAGGGACCGCTTCTTCTTCATAATCTATCTATTTTGCGGATGAAAGCGGCCCCATGGCCAATGAGAAAGGGGAAAAAAGACACAGACTTCCCACCAATACAGCGTTTGAGTATCGGTGATCGGGAGGGAGGCTTCTGTTCACTGTGCACAATTAGCCGTAAAAACACTGAAAAGAACTTGGTAAAATCCAATTCTAAGCGTAATAGTGTTAGGGGGAATTCCACCACATGGATTAGACGTTTTAAATATTGGAAATTAACGAAAACACCTTGAAGAAAAACACCATGAGACCGTTATTGTTTCACAGAATGTGTCACCTTTGTAACCATATGAAATAGCACTAGGAACACGTTCTCATATTATATACTCAGTGGGTCAATGTGCGTGTGGAATTAGTGTTTATATTGGTGTGACAACTTTTTGTACACTTTCCATGTACGTAATTATTGATAGTAATCCTGTAATATGTACTGACATGATTTGATTTTGATCACAAAGGATTTACATTATCACAAAGGGTTAACATTATATTCATACCAGGTATTGCAAATTTGCAGTAAAATATTCCAATCGAATCTGTAACAACATTAAGAAATATAAGGTTTAATATTTCACCTTATGGGAGTCATATGTTATATGTTCACGCGTTTGTGTTATAACTGTAAAGGCAGTGTATGAACCTTGATATTTTGACATTTTATTAAAAAGTACTTGAATTCACAATGATTTCATTTTCCACTTCAATAGCGATAAGGTTTTAGGTCTTATTTAGAAATAGTTCCATTGCGTTTAAATTAAACACCACGAAGTGTAATTTCTTTTTTTAATGAAAGGGGTTTTGATGTAGTTTTCCCCAAATTGGTTCTACAGATTGTCACATAAATGTTTTATTTCTGTGTTCAATATTTTAGATGTATACTCGGACAGACTGATTACTTTTTTTGCTCAAGAGACACCCGGCTTCTCGGTGCGCCAACAGCTAAAGGGAGGTAATAACGAGTACTCGCCACGGACTAGGTCGCGCGTGCAGTCGTACACAGCAATCAATCAGCGATGGAGTGACTGGACAAGGGCTGTTTTCCTAAAACATTGTTTGAAATAACTTCAGGGCATTGATCGAACTAACTGTAGAGGCCCTTATAATTGAAACAATAACAACAGAAGGAATTGTATGCCACTTGACCGCAGATAAGTATGGTCAGTCCCTGCGGGTCGTCTACCTCCAATTTTAATCCGATTTTCCTAGACGGACTAATTGCACTTGCGAACTGACCGGTAACGGAGGGGTGTCTAAGGTAGCTTTTAGCATCGTTTATCTACATTAATATGTTACAATCAGGAGCTATATATCGCTAACCTGACAAGGACCGTGGCCAGATTGCAATAGACGGGCGATTGTTGTTCTTAACAACACGAAAAGGAGACAAGGAGCGTAGTTTTAGCTAGATAAAGGCGAGGAATATCATCAGACTAGATAATTGAGCCAGCTACTGATGATGTGTTGTGTCAACTAGCCCTATAATCCGATTGTTGTGATAAAAGCTACAGTGGTTTCCTAACAAGTTTTTGTCGGGGCTGAAACCTAGAAAAATATTTGGTTTCCAGTACCTGTATAACACCATACGTGTATCTTACACCATTGTTTTCTTTACGGATTGGTTGATTTGTACGATCATAAAACCCAAATACAAGTTTATATGTACAGAAGAAAAACACATATTATTCATACGCATTAAAAATGTAACCTAAACGAGAAATGTTAGTGTAAAGTGTTGTTTTTTTAAGTGGCATATAGAAGCTGGTATGATGAAGAGGAACACCTTTTATGGATAGTCAACTTCTTTATTGCAAGAAAGTTAGATGTTGATGCTAAAACCGTTATCAAATGAGTGAGTGAAGTTCCATAGACTTCATAATGTTAAAACATTAAATACTATATCAGTCCAGTTCGTCTAAAAAACATATTAACTCAGTCCTTAGATTCGTTGCATGCGCGAACGGTCAGTGCCTTCAGGACTCCCATGGGAATAAACATGGACGCTGTTATGAGCGCCATCTGGTGGCGTTCGGTACAAGTAGCTTCGTACTCGAATGATGAGCGCGCATTAAAATACCTTGTCTATTTCTCCAGCACTTTCTGTACGCAAATGGGGTTTGAGACAGCTATTGGCGCAAATTAAAAAGTTTGTAGTATGGTTCTATTAGCTAGGGCTTACCCTTGTCTGACCACGGGGGAGGTAGAGGAAGGGAGACATGATAATAAAGTCGAAACGGCAACGCAAGGATTAGTGACGCCCAACACTGTGAGCATAATACTGAAAAATGATTTCAATATCAAATAATAAAGTGCCACCCCGGTCGCTGTGGAAATAACGTCTGCGTAAGTACGAATTTATAAAATCATTACAAAGCGTAATGACGCTCAAATGAGCGCGTAGATCCTCTGGACTTGACAGGCTTGGGACTCGAGGGACCTGCCGATTCTCTCTGTTTGGAGAACAAATTTAAGATGCATAATCCCCCTCAAATGAAATGCCTCTAAATTCCTCAATTCCAACTTTTGTCCAAAAGTACCGGTGATTCATCAAAGGGTGCGTGGAGTTCGATTAGAGTCTGACAAGCGACTAGGAAACAAATGGGACGAAGGGGAAGGGGGATTTGGGAGGGATGAACGCGCTACAGCCGGGGAGAGATCCTAACACACCAGGATGAAAAATCTGATTTTAACCAAACCTAGTTATCTCAGCTGGTATCGGGCATTCGCGACCTTTTGGTGACTTTTTCTATGACTATGAAACTGATAGTACTGTATTTTACAGCCGTCGCTCCGATCTCTGAACACCTTGTATGCGTCTCCATGTTGAGGTTAAACCTTTTTTTGTCAGTGTTGAATTTTCAGATTTTATGATATCGTTTTTTTTCTCACAAAAAAATATCCTCAACCCTGAAAACTAAGCTTGGAAATGATACTGTTCGAATCAAACGAACGCTTCTTTGGATGAGGTTTGAATTGATTCAAGCATTCAACAGGCCAACGCACTGAAAACAAAATTATTCTCAAATTTCGTTGATCAAACCTTACTGGAAATAATATTTTATTGAATCAACGAATACCTCATGTTCATAATACTGATTCAAATGAACAGAGCAGAGCCAAAACATGCGAAAAATGAGCCTTGCGGTATTGTCAGTATGAAGACCCAATGTGTGTATATGATATCATAAAACCTTTTTCTTACAATAAATAAAAACGAATACCGTTACGAAAAACAAAACAAAACAAACATACAATAAACAGAAGAAAATGCTATAAATAAAGTATTCATAGACATAAAATACTAGTATAACATTGTAAGTGACATGGCATCTGGAACAAAAGAAGTGTTGGATGTTTTAGATTCAAGAGGTTTTCATTTTTGTTGTTGGCACCAACTTCACAAGAACGCAATAAACAAGGACATTTATTCAGATGGAAACATTCAGATCTGAACGTCACCCTTTTTCTGCAATATGTAACTTCATACATTTAATATGCCTTGAAGGACCTGAGTGTCAAAACGTGACCAAATCAGCATGATCGGGGTCTACGTGGATAGTTTGCCCAAATACCCCCCAATGACAATTTTCATTGAAATCACAGACTGTGGATTTTACAAACGTACTGACAAGCATAATCTTGTTCTCATCGCAACAAAATCCATTTAGAGACAGTGCGTTGGCATTTTCTTGTGTATCTCAAATAAGAAGTTCTGAAATTGTACAAGCATATGTCGAAAAGTTCCTTTGAAAGATCTTTCTGAAATTTCATAGTCAGACTTAACTTCTGAGGTCAAATAAAACTATTCTTCACATTGCATCGTTTGTTTATCAAATATTGTTGTTGGATATTTCATACATCCACGAATCTATCTGTGCAAACAAACTTGGAGAAGCGTTCATCTGGCGATGACATGGCCAAAGGGAGACAACTCTTGATTGTTTACTTAATTCATCTTGATTTATATTTGAAACGGACCTTCCAGCTCACAGTGAAATAAATTGCAGTTTGGCCAGCCTCCATTGTCTGTGCGACTATCGGAATATTGTGATTTATTTGGTAGACGTTTGAATTTATCTACCTTGTAATTGTCTCGTTAATGACATGTTCGCTTCATCATGTCAGCAGCCGAGTTGTCGGAGTACGGAATTGGATGGAGAAGAATAGGTGGACTTGTTTGGTGGACCGCGCCCCTCGGGCAAGACTGGGGCAATATACATTATACATAACCTCCGTCCATTTCAAGTCGTGATGAAAACGACCAGAGAAGTGTCACTCAAATCAAAATCAAAACACCGTCTTCGGGCCGTTCCGTCGTCTCCCCGTGGAGCTCATCCCGCCGACAAAGATTCCCCATTGTATTAATTACCCTTGAGCGCTGTTTGGTAGATAAACAGGCAACACATTTCATAGTCGTTACCTACATTATGTATACAAAACATAGTAGGGAGATGTTGTTACAGCAATAATGACCGCCACGTTGGATTGCAATTAAATGGCTGATTAAAGGTGTTGGTGAAATTAACGCTACAGACAGGATTATCGCAGCAGGCCGTGCGTGAAATATGCACCATGTTGCAGATTTCATACGGTAACACATTGCACATGTGATCTCTCGATCGGCTAATGGCCATAAATGAGGATTACACGGTTACAGTTCTTAATCACCGTGACGGAAGACCGGTGTGAAAGTAAAGATTTCTGAACAAGAGGTACACGAGAAGAAGGAATATTCTGGAAAGGGAAAATGAATATTTTTAGGACAGCTGCTTACTTTTT